CGCCACTCGCGTCCGGTGTAGACACGGTGTAACATTGGTTTTGCTTTGTTTCACAGAACTAATCGTTGCCTAGGTTGTGTACGTATGTGTGGGGCGGAGCTATCAAAATAGGGGCAAGAACCTTTTGGGGTAGGGGCGTGCTTGTTTTGGTGATTTCAAATGTCAACATTGGCTACCAGAAATCGCTTACCCCACCTTTAACCTTGGACCTTATTCTTGAAACACAAAATGCCAAATAAAAAAAAGTGTCAAGCACCAAAAGCAGCCCATATTAAATCTAATATGTTCTCTTTAATTGAATATATATATATATATATATATATATAAGTAAAAAAAATGTGCATCTTATATATCTTACTAACACCAGACTTTTCAATGGTAGTGTGTATTTACTGTATCTGGAAATAAAGGCTTTTCAGTCTGAGAAATGTGCTTTATTTCACACATTGCAGTATCCGTCAACAGACATCACAGAGCCTGGTGAAGAAGTTATGCGTCCCCATATTGTAGGTATGTAGCTTTTACCATTACTGACAATTGAACTTCAGGAATATTCTGGGTTAACTGTATATCATCTGTACCACAGAAAATAATAAGAACTCAGTTTGTAAACACAAAATGCTTTGGAGTTCTTTACAAATACTATCCAACTTGTGCAGTATTTAACCTGAAATATTTAACTATAATTTGATTGGACATCACTTTTTTTTTTTTTTTTAAATACTTCTTGGCATAAAAAGGGATTTTGGATACTGTTTGTGAAATGAATTAAGCAAAACAAAACACTATCTTTTATGTTATCAGGTATTCAAAGTCCAGATCAGCGATCCCTTCTGGCCAAACACAATCCCTGCAGGCCTGTGTTTGTCGAAGGCCCGTTTCCACTGTGGCTCAGAAAGACTTGTGTTCATTATTACCTACTCAGGGCAGACCCTATACCGCCTGAGGAAAAGGTACAGTAATTGGGCTAATGATGGCATTTCATGAAAGTCAACATATCAGAATGATTTCTGAAGGATCATGTGACATTGAAAACTAGAGTAATGGCTGCTGAAAATTCAACTACAATAAATAACAGTTATTCACAATGTTACTGTTTTACTATATTTTTGATCAAATAAATCTTAATTATTCCAAACTTAGTAGTGTAATACTTCAAAGAATACAACAATAACTAATAAATAAATTAAGTGACGTGACATGTGGCCGAGTATGGTGACCCATACTCGGAATTAGTGCTCTGCATTTATCCCATCCAAAGTGCACACACACAGCAGTGAACACACACACACCGTGAACACACACCCGGAGCAGTGGGCAGCCATTTTTTTGCTGCGGCGCCCGGGGAGCAGTTGGGGGTTCAGTGCCTTGCTCAAGGGTACCTCAGTCATGGTATTGAAGGTGGAAGAGAACGCTGTACATTCACTCCCCCCACCTACAATCCCTGCCGGTATGAGACTTGAACCCACAACCTTTGGGTTACGAGTCCAACTCTCTAACCATTAGGCCACGACTTCCCCATTAAGACTTCATTCTTAAAGAATTTGCACTCCAGATTATGTATTGGCATCTTCTTTTCCTATAGGTTGAGGAAGAGTTTGACCTTGAGATGATTGGTCCAGAGCAGAGTCTCTTCTACCCTCAGCGAGTGGAGCTGGACCTGGAAAGAGACATGGGTGATGATTTCAGTTTCAGTGTGGATGATGGTGAGACTCGTATTGCTTTGTCAACATGGTTTGAATAAAATGGTTTGCATATCACCAGACACATGCAATGATGTCTGTTCATTTGATCCTGCAGTGGAAGAGGGGCCGGTTTACGCCATGTGTATGGCTGGTCAGGGAGACCAGGCTACTCTGTCTCAGTGGATTTCTGGTCTACAGGAGACCTGTCCCATATTAGGCCAGATCCCTACAGTGTTCCGTCTGGATTCTGGACCCAGAGAACTGCAAACCTCGTCGGGTGCTCAGCAAACCCGAGCAGGAGGTTGAAACAGAACAAATTATCGAGGAGGAGCCACTACTCTCACAAAGAGTGAAACAGTGAGAGCCATGCCAATGGATGGGCGTTTTATGAAGACGGACTGTGGTAGTTTTACATCAATCTAATATGATGAACCTTATATTTAATTTAGTTATCAGATAATGATTTATGTCTGGTCTATTACACACTATTTTTGAGTTGAGATCTGTCTACAGTATGCAGAGTTGCTCTATGATGTGTAAATATGCCATAAACTGATTTGGCAGTGCAATAAAACATACATTTCTCCAATATTTTGATTTCGTGGTCATTTTGTACTATAATAATGATTGTTTTAAGTTGATAAGTAGATCAGAACAATTTTAGTTTCACCATTCTAAGCAAAAGTAGACCTATATTATAGCCAAATCTCTATGCAATCAATCTTTGTCATAAAAAGGAGCATATAATGCTAAATTGTATAAGTGAATTAACATTTTAAGTTACAGACAAGCAAACAAAGTGTGCAAAAGGTTTTATTTATTTAAAAGATTTTATCTACAACAGAAGTGGACTGAAGAGGGAATCAGAATTAAACGTTTTACTTATCCTAGGTGTAGACTGTAAAAACTAACAAACTATGTTTGCTAAACTATATATAATATGTGATGATTCTCATCCTTGTGCTTTTTTTTCTTCAAACATGTGGTCTGTGTATAACCAAACATTAACACCACACTCTCAGATAATTTAGAAGGTTAACTAGTAATTAACTACAAGGAAGTTCAAATTATGGTAGATATGAATTACATTTGATTCTATAGTATTTTATAAACTGAAGAAGAAGGTCTATTCAAGACAAATTCTTAAGTGGAAACAAAAAAAAAAAAACATTATGGAGAGTCAAAATAAGTCAAAGTACAAAATAAAAATGATATTTTATAAATAATCTAAATAATATATACACTATGCAGAGTAACAATTACAAAAAGAAAATTTATTGCAAAACGTTTTGAAAAGTGCATAAACTGTACAGAAATAAATACTGAAAATACAAGATCAAAATGCAGTTCTTTAGATTACAGGATAACATGCCAGTTGTTGTGTGTGTTAACGTTTTTATAGATGGATCTTATTTTGTAACCTGATTTACAGGTTCTGTAAATGCACTGTTTGGAGTATTACCAGAATTTAAACGTACAGTTAATGAGGCTCAGTAGTGAAAAAAGGGTGAATCAACATTTTGATATTGATCTCTTACGTGACTGATGGAACTTACAAAGAAAATGTAAGAAAACAGAATCTTAAATCATTAAGACATGAAGTTAGGTTTTAGTGAACGTCAGCGGAGACCACGTCAACTAGATGAGCCACAGAGACAGATCCCCTGCGAAGACCTCATCAACTAGATGGCCATCAGAACAAGACGGGTATTGTCTGTCAGTCACCCATCAGTTCACTCAAAGTCTTCGGCCTTGACCTTAGCTTCAATTTTGACCGGGCAGGTTAAATTCCGTTCTGAAAAATGATTTATAAAATAAATTATTTCGTATTTTCAAAGCCAGACTGAATGCAGATTTCCCTTTTACCTGTAGAAGCTCTGCATCGCTGTTGAAGCTGGTGGGTGATGAAGTGCTCTCGGACTGCCACCTGTTTATCCCAGGCATCGAGAATGCCTTGTTGTTCAAGGTCTCCCAATGATAGTGTATCAGGATGCGCCTCCTCAATGTGAGCCTTGACGCCTTCCACACTCACAGAGTACTGCTGCTCTCCACAAACCATACACACCAACAACGGGTTGACAGGATCAAAGTCCATGAGGTAGACATTTCTCCACTCTGCCTGTGATAAAGGTCCCTCCATTGCATCATTTGGTGCAAAGCTTGACTCCTCTTCAAACAGAAGATGTTGGTAATACCAGTAAACAAATAGTCACTTAAACTGTTTGGTAAAGTGTGTTAGAAAATTCATTAAAAATAACCTTTGAGTGCAGGTTGACATGGTTCAGCAAAGTAGCCAAGTTGGTCTTCTAAAGTTACACTGTTTGGAAAAGAAGCCAACATTAATGTCTTTTCAGCATATTAATATGATTTCTGTAGGATCATGTGACAGTGAAGAATGGCTACTGAAAATTCAGCTTTGCTATCACAGGAATAAATTACATTAAAAAATATATATTAAAATACAAAATAGTTATTTTAAACTGTAATCATATTTGACAATATTACAGTTTTTACAGTATCAAATAAATGCAGAAATTCAAAAATATTATTAAAAATTTTACTTACCTCTGAACTACTGCTGAGCAGAGACTGGCAGAGTTCTGACTCTAGGAAGATTAAAGAAAAAAAGTAAGGATAGTGTACATTAACTATGTAGCAACTGGCAACAACAAATCACTAGAGCTGTAGCTCATTTGACCAAAGGATGAAAAAAAAAAAAAAAAAGATTATAAGTTCACGTGTATGTGAATGCTCTGAGTGACTTGAGGCTGGGTAGATGACAACAATTCTCAAACAATCTGAGAAAGTGCTACTTAATTGGACAAACCAAATTCAGACGTTTCTGCCATGGCATTTTTAACCTAAAATAATTACACAGTTTAACCTTAAATCCATTCTGAGGGGGTTCAATCATTTGAGAAACTGGATAAAGGAACAATGCAAATATTCAGTTAATTGGTATAAAAACTGGCATCTCACCATCTTCATCTAAAGAATAAGTAATCTAAAAGCAGCAAGCCGTGAGAAGGCTGCTGATCTTAAATGCTAAAATAAATGTTCAAATCTTTTACATGCTTGTTTCAGAAATGTATTTTGAAGAAAAACATCTTTCATTATTTGACTCCTAATTAATTACAAAACTCTCCACCATCACGTAGTCCTACATTTTTTTCCCTATGTTTTGCATGTCCCTACAGTATGCTGACGCACAGATATGCCTGGAGGCACGGGGGGCCCACACAGGGCCTCTATACACTGCCACAAGTCAAAAGAGGCCTCCAAAATGTTTCTGTGATATTCTAGTGCTGAGGTATGGCTGGGGCCCCACATGGGGCCCTGTGAACACTGCTCCAATTCAAAAGAACCTACCCCCATTTGTCTGTGAATTTCTGGTGCTGAGATAAAGCTGGGGCCCCCAGGGGACATAAAGCATGTAGTGTTATTATTACAGCGTTTTGGTATACTGTGATGTTTGGTTCTCAGTATAAACTCGACTTCATGTAATTCCAAACATGAAGTTTCTTCACTTTGTTTCTTCTACGGAACACAAAAAAAAGAGAGATTTTGCAGGATGTTTCAACTGTTTTTGCTCATACAAAGTCAATAGGGTCCAAAACACTGACCATTGACTTTCATTATATGGGGGGAAAAAAAGATCCAAACTAGCTTATGTGTTCCACAGAAGAAAGAAAGTCATACAGGTTTGAAACAACATAGGGATTAGTAAATGATAATCCGTTTAGATGAATGAGCCACTGATAGAAGATCAGATCAGTTTGCACAGCACTGTGCTAACCACAAACTGGTTCAACAGATCTGTCACACGAGTAAACAACTGCATGATCAGTGGGTTGCACTGCGTGGGTATCGCAGTCCCACTCAAACTCACAGTGGTGCTGCACTGTGGTCTGTTTTAGAACAATCTGTAAATGAGGGGGATGTTACTGCTGACAGTGTTTTGAAATGATTGTGCTTTTATTTGGGGCCTTTTCTCTGTCTGCAGTTACATTACTTTTCAAAAATTTGGGGTTGGTAAGGTTTTTTAATGTTTTTGAAAGAAGTCTCTTACGCACACCAAGGCTGCATTCATTTGATTAAAAATACAGTAAAAACAGTAATATTCTAAAGTATTATCACAATATAAAATAACAGTTTTCTATTTTAATATATTTGAAAATGTCATTTATTCCTGTGATGGCAAAGCTGAATTTTCAGCAGCCATTTCTCCAGTCTTTACTGTCACATGAGTATATTGTAGAAACTTAATTTTCTGTAAAGCTGCTTTGCAACGATTTGTATCGTGAAAAGCGCTATACAAATAAACTTGAATCGAATTTAACATGATCCTTCAGAAATCATTCTAATATGCTGATTTGCTACACAAGATACATTTATTATCAATGTTGAAAAAATAGTTGTGCTACATAATTTTTTTTCAGAATTCTTTTAAAAGTTCAAAAGAACAGCATTTATGTGAAACAGAAATCTTTTGTAACATTATAAATATCTTTGCTGTCCAAAAAAAAAAAAATCTTACTGACCCCAAACTTCTTAATGGTACTGCACATAAATAAAACCAATCTATATGCTCTAAAAAATAATTACCTGTAAATCCTGGCCTTGTGGAGGGACCATCATCTGGCATAGCTTTCTCTCACGTGCTGCCTTTCTAGCTCTCTGCTCCTGTTTCTTGATCCTCCACTGCATGCGTCTTCTACGTATAACCTCCTCTGGATCTTCTTGTGGATTTGGCGTTGCCACTATTAGGCTTCTATCACATCTTGATTTATCTGTAGGTTGTGTTTGTGGACCAGAAGGCTTGGTGCACCTGCTTGTTTTTTTCTGAATGGGGATCTGTCTGCATGTGGAAGTGTCCTGGGACATGGCTTGCATGAGAGTTGTGCTTCGTGTTTTCTTCTGGGGAATCCGAGAAACACAATAGTTCATATGGTGACACATTTAATAATTCACATTATTATCAATTACTTCCCATGACATTCAAATATCAATGCAACTCACCTGTGGCAGATTACGAAGAACTGCATGTTTGGTTGCATCTTTGTTGGCTTTTCTAGCCCGCTGTTGTCTCTTCTTTAACCGCCAGTACTCTCTCTTTCGTTGAAGCTCATCACTTTCACCAAGCTGCTGCTTTTGCAAGGCCTGTGAAGGGCAGACCTGCTTGGGATCTGCTCCATCATCACTGAACTTCTGAGGTTGCTGAGCCACTGGAGAAATGGCATGACTTCCATCTGTAGCCTCTTGACAGACGTTATGAGTCTTATAACGACTGGTGTTTTCAAAAGTTGATGCCTGAGGACTCAATTTGATATCTTTAAGGCTTGTGTCTTTTGAGAGGTCACACTGTAACAAGACGTTTTGTTGTAAGGTAAGACTTGGCTTTGCATCTTCAGATGTAAAAAGGTCATCTTTAGTCAACGGAAGAGGCTCATTTTCACACTTTACATGCATTTCGTTGGCATTATTTTCTTCTGGTGTGTAAACCGATTCCTCCAGGAGCTTTTTCATGGAGGCAACAGCCTGAAGAGTGGTGGCATGATGGTCCACAGCTGTTGAAGGCTCAATGTGTGATTCTAAGGATGCACAGGGTGAAGGTTTGCTGCTATTAACACTGATGCAGGGAGTAATTTCTGGGATGGAAAACACAGCTTGTATAGTGGGATAGACATGCTCTTCTTTTATAGGTATTGGGGCACTGGTAGAGGAGTGACAAACTGTTGTGGTGATAGATGAAGTAATACTCTGCCTATGGTTTGACTTCTTGTTTTGCTCTCTCTGCTTTAACACAGAAACCTTCGACCTAAGCAGACCATTCCCAAGTCGGGCAGCTTGACTAGCCCTTTGCTCTCGTTTCTTTATCCTCCAATACTCCCTCAAACGGGCGACCCTTCCTTCTTCTGTTGGGGTTTCAGACTGGATGGTGACTGTCATACTGCCCATAACTGCACCTCTGGTTAACCTAGACTTTACTAGAGAGTTTTGGTGAGCATTAGTACAGTTACTAGAAATGTTGCATGGAGCGGAATCTAGCTTTGTGACTGGTGGAGCATCTGAATATAGGGGAGAATTTACTTGAACCTGGAGTTTTACCTTTCCAATGCATTTCACATTGGAAATGTCTTGACTTGCAGGTAGGGAAGCCTTGGGAGATGTCTTCGAAATGGTGACTGTCACCGTGCCATCTTCTTTGATAAAACCACCAATGGTATCTGAGGAAACTGCAAATGCACTTGCTTTGCTCACTTCAACTCCACACGCCTGGTTGAAACTGTTGTAGGAGTGTCTCCCATGATGCTTTAGTGCGTCACGTTCCTTCAGTCGTGCTTTTAATGCCATAGACAGCCTTGCTCTCTGCTCACGTTTCTTAATTCTCCAGTATTCTTTCTGCCTGGCATGGCGATCCTCGGGAGACTCAACTTTGGAAGCACCAAGGGTGGATTTCCTCATTTGGTTTTGACAACGTCTCTTTTGAGTATGTGCACATTTCTGTACTTTGGATTTACTTGAGGATGACTGCAAAATACCAGAGGTTAAGGATGCATGGTTTGGTTTAGTACTCTGAACATGTAGTTGTGTTGTTCGAGAACCGTTAAATTTTGCTCCCAGCGATTGATTGAGGGATACAAGATTTGAGTTGAGGCTGATTCCTCTCAAGGTCTTACTGTAAGTAGGAGACGAAGCATGCATGATACCAACAGATAAAGGTTGTCCTTGTCCGAGACTCCCTTCTTGGTCCCGGGCCAGCTTTGCAGCACGCTTTGCTCTCTGTTCCCGCTTTTTGATACGCCAGTTCTCTCTACGCTTAGCAACCATCTCTTCTTCAGTCATAGCCACTCCCGTGTTGTGCTCTGAAGCAAAGGCACATGTTCTTCTCTTAGTGATAGGATTCTGGTTTTCATGAACCTTACATTCTGCAGAGGTCAAGGGTCCAAGTGAGTTCTGAGGCTTATTTTGGTTTCTGTGCACTGGTAAAACCATGGATACATGGCTTTGCAAAGATGTTGTTAAGTGCTTGCCATTTAGGGATGACATTCCTGATTTTGTTTTTTGAGCATGAGTACTGTTTGGATGCAACTCGATGCATGTTGTAGGCACCGAATGGACTGTAGGGCAGAGATATTCAACTGTTGAAGCATTTGTTTTTGATGACCCTGTATCTGAGGGCTTTATTTTTTTATTGCCCATTACACCCTTCAGGGAATTTGTGCTTGTTTCTGGGTACTGAGGTAAGGCATGGTTGAGCTTGGTCCTTTGAAACCATCTCACTTTTTGGCATGGCACCATAGTAATATTAGTCTCAGATACTGATAGACCTGAGCTGAAGGAGTTTTTAGGAGCATCAGCATCTTCCCGTTTGAATGAAACATTATGATTATGTAGAGAGGGATCATTGCTGGCTTCACTAACAACAGACATGCGCAACCCCAGATTTTCATTTCCAATCTTCTTTTTGGTAGATGACTTTCTCGCCCTCTGCTCTCTTTTCTTACTCCTCCAATATTCCCTTTTGCGGGCGATAGTGGCATCATCAAACTCTGCTGCTGGTTGATAACGACGTTTAGAGGAAGTCTTGCTGGACATGGCTCCTGTTTGGTTACACCATCATTATACTAATGTCAGCCGCTGGAGTAAGTCTTCTTAGGCTTGGCAAAACCTGATCTAAACAGGGTTATCTGTGTGGTCACATCTTTAATTTATGTGAAGGAATCTCTCAAGGTCTTTCTGTTTAGATGGATTTTGCATGCAGTGCTTGATTCAAACTGTCCATTTTTCTGAAAAACCAAGAGTAGTTGACCTTTAGGGGAAACAAAATGCATAATAAATAATTGATCTGATGAATGATGAGAGACATTGTTAAGTCATGTTCTTTAACACAAACCAAATGACTATAAGCTTGAGGCTACACTTCAACAATAAAATGACAATAAAATAAAATCATCAACATAAAATATATCTAAAATAGGAACAAAAAAAATATTGCATTTATACGATACATGCAGATGCAAATAAATATCACTGGATGGTAAAAAAAAAAAAAAAAACACAAGCCACACATAACTTTCAAACTGTATAAGAATTCAAACTACATAAAGCATTACATACATAAAATACATATAGGGCCACAGCTCTGCAGAGTTAAGCTCCAACCAGCTCCAAATCACATCTGCTTGGAAGTTTCTAGTAATCCTGAAGACCTTGATTAGCTGGATTAGGTGTGTTTGCTTAGGGTTGGAGCTAAACTGTGCAGAGCTGTGGCCCTCCAGGAATTGAGTTTGAGACCACTGACATAAAGCCTACGTGAATACATAAAAAACACCCAATAATTCAAACTAGCAGATTAAGGGTTAAAAATAGTGGACATAAAAGGGCCCCTATGCTGGAGGACGGGGCCCTAGAGAGCACTTTGTTGGGTGTTGTGACAAAATCCTCAATTGTGATTCATATGTGATCATAAAGCAACAATAGACGACGTCCAGGGGCCCCTGTAGTCTTCCAAAGGCATGGCTGGGACTCAGAAAAGGGGCCCTCAAATACATATTGGGTTTCGGTACATGCACATTTAGTAATTTCGCAGACCCTTTTATCCAAAGTGACCTACTAATAAGGAACAGTGCATGCAATTTATCATAAGAGTAATATATGCAGTACACAATGAGAAGTGCACCCTTAAGTAGTACACGTAAATACAAGAAATAAGAGAATGATGCCCTCTATCCATGTGGGGGAAGGGGAAGTCTGGGGCCCCGGGGGAATGTGCCCCACATGCTGTGTCTGCAATGCTGATATGAATTTATAGGAACATCAAGCACTGCCATGCAAGCATTGACATTAAATCAATTCAATTTCGATCTATGCTACAGAGCAAGTAGGAACAATCGTTTTTCAATCATTTTTGTCACAAATTGTTCTTCAATCTTCAAGAAATGTTTGAAGACAACTCACACTTGGTCCGCAACCATTACCAAGTTACTTCCAATCTTATCTCCATCTTAGTACTACTAGCCTGATGCTTGTCAAGCCAACTTTGGGATTTTGTATTGCAGCATTTTTATGTCACTGTCTCCCTACGATTAATCATACTGTAGTATTGCGCATTTGCAAGTCGCTCTGTATAAAAACATATTCAAATATGAATATGAATAAATGTAAATCAGCCATTCTTGAGACGTGGGACAAAACAGGTCCAGCAAGGGTAAGTGCTATTAGCTTTAAAAAATAAAAATATTTTCGATTTTAAATGTCATGAGGGATTAATAATAGAATGCATTTAACACAATTATCACCTTCAATTTAATTTTCTCATTATTATACCAAATCTGTGTTTCTTAATGTCCTCTCACTACATCTAAAACAGTGTGTCCACAGAGAAGGGTTCAATCATTCATATGCAATAAAATGGATTAAAAAAAATTTAATGATGAAAAAGAGCTTGTTTTATCAAAAGCAACACTTAATAATATCTCCTATCAAAGCAAGGTTGTTTTTTTAATGACACATGCATGTTTCATACGATTTTAAAGTTGCGTCCCCACTTTTTGTCAACACCGTCAGACATTCAATAAAATGTAATAAAATCAGGGAATATCAGGGGCAGCTGTCACTCTAAAGGAGCCCCTTGCCACAGTTCCCCTCTGCAGAGTACAGCAGTGTCAGACAGGCTCTGCTAAATTTAACTATTTTAGAATATTTTAAATCCTAATTTTAATATTTCCTTTGTCACAGCCATGATATGTCAACACCATCTTTCAATTTCTGAGGAAATTATTTGAAATATTTAGACGTTTTATTTTTTCAATTTTGCACCCTGTTTTGTCCCGCTTCTCAAGAATGACTGAAATATCAGTGCCAGAGCGTCACACATCGAGTTCCCAGATTTTTCTGGACTAATGTTTTGGTGCATTTTTGGAGCTTGATAGTCTCTGCGTCTACGTTAAACTGTATCAAAGAGAGCAGCCTGCACATTCTACAAAATATGTATTTTGTGCATTCCACATAAGAAAGAAAATCTTACAGGTTTAAATCAACATGATCTTAAGTAAACAATTCCCGATTTTAATTTTTATTCAACTACTCATTCAGTAACATTACAACTGCTATGCATTGCTAAAGAAAGGGGCTTTTTTTAAATGGAAAGCATACAAATATGCTTATATGAATAAAATGTGTAGTAAAAGATAACTTAAACTCAAACAGAGCCCAAAGATGGGACAAACACGTTGCTGTCACTTTAAATCTTATCTCACAATCACAAGCTGGTGATTTCTCCGGCTAACTCTGGCGTTTTGTTTTGACACTGCAATGGCAGCGCTTGTTTATTTATATAAAATGTATATGTAAAAAGCATCCTAGCAAACACTGGAGTGGTTTTACTGAACAAGCTGTCGCTGTCTCTATGACAGAGACAATGTTGTCTTCCCTATCTGCCCTCCTGAGCTGCGGTCTGTGTGTCTGTCTGTCAGCTCGTGGACTGTCGTGTCTTTAAAGTAAAAAGCGTCAAGACAACACCGTGTGTGCGAAGCATGCGTTTGTTTTACCTGGTAAATGCACCTAACTTTCCTTAAGCTCAGTCTCAGGACACTGCAGTCGGGTCGCTTCCCGTTGCAGCCTTTCTTTCTATCGGCGCCTTGACAAAGGTAAAAAAATACCAGGATGTAGGAACTTACAGCAATGTGCGTGGACGGATAGGGTCTTAAAGCAGCCCCTCCCTCCATAAAACACGTTTTGCATAAAAAAATTAAATGAAAACCGGCCATTATGAATTAGTTGCAGATAACTTAGTGGTATTTTTTAGTTTTCTAATTTGTTTGTTTTATATTTAATATTTAAGTATTAAAAAATAACCGGTACACCAATTACACACAAAAAGATGCCCTATGTCCCTCATGAAAACAATATAAACAATGGCTTTAACAATACTAAAAATATATAATAATATAATAGTATAAAATTATACTTTGGCATTATGTAGGCATTACGTATCTTATATATATTATATATATATATATATAACGTGTTAAATAATTTTTAAAAATACAGATGCAAACCTGTTCAAACCTAAGAGTAATGTAACAAATGTATGTTTATTCACATTTTTCGAATATTGAGCACAATTGAATTTTTTACATTTCAATTTTACAATAAAACACACAAGGATACATGCACAAGTTTAAGAAACACATAAAAAGATCAGTAATATGAATAATACAATTTAATTAAACTGTCATTCCATGTAGAATAACTGTATTTTCCAAAAACGGTCTGTAAATAAATGTACCAATCAAAACTAGAAAACAAAATATATTTAATCCTATGTTATAATTCATGAATTAAATGGCATGTACAAAATGCATAATTTTGTTTACAATCTTATGTAAAATATTAAATAAAAATTTAAAAATGGGCCCCATGGTGCACCCGTCACTATATACTTCACAGCCGCTACTGTCTCTTTAAATTTACCCAGGAGCCGTTTTACTGAACAAGCTGTCGCTGTCTCTATGACAGAGACAATGTTGTCTTCCCTATCTGCCCTCCTGAGCTGCGGTCTGTGTGTCTGTCTGTCAGCTCGTGGACTGTCGTGTCTTTAAAGTAAAAAGCGTCAAGACAACACCGTGTGTGCGAAGCATGCGTTTGTTTTACCTGGTAAATGCACCTAACTTTCCTTAAGCTCAGTCTCAGGACACTGCAGTCGGGTCGCTTCCCGTTGCAGCCTTTCTTTCTATCGGCGCCTTGACAAAGGTAAAAAAATACCAGGATGTAGGAACTTACAGCAATGTGCGTGGACGGATAGGGTCTTAAAGCAGCCCCTCCCTCCATAAAACACGTTTTGCATAAAAAAATTAAATGAAAACCGGCCATTATGAATTAGTTGCAGATAACTTAGTGGTATTTTTTAGTTTTCTAATTTGTTTGTTTTATATTTAATATTTAAGTATTAAAAAATAACCGGTACACCAATTACACACAAAAAGATGCCCTATGTCCCTCATGAAAACAATATAAACAATGGCTTTAACAATACTAAAAATATATAATAATATAATAGTATAAAATTATACTTTGGCATTATGTAGGCATTACGTATCTTATATATATTATATATATATATATATAACGTGTTAAATAATTTTTAAAAATACAGATGCAAACCTGTTCAAACCTAAGAGTAATGTAACAAATGTATGTTTATTCACATTTTTCGAATATTGAGCACAATTGAATTTTTTACATTTCAATTTTACAATAAAACACACAAGGATACATGCACAAGTTTAAGAAACACATAAAAAGATCAGTAATATGAATAATACAATTTAATTAAACTGTCATTCCATGTAGAATAACTGTATTTTCCAAAAACGGTCTGTAAATAAATGTACCAATCAAAACTAGAAAACAAAATATATTTAATCCTATGTTATAATTCATGAATTAAATGGCATGTACAAAATGCATAATTTTGTTTACAATCTTATGTAAAATATTAAATAAAAATTTAAAAATGGGCCCCATGGTGCACCCGTCACTATATACTTCACAGCCGCTACTGTCTCTTTAAATTTACCCAGGAGCCCCTAAAGGAGCCCCAGGGGCCCCTAGCTCGGCTCTCCACCCTGAAGACAAGCAGAACATCTAAATACAAACAGCGACCATTTGACAGATCTGCACTCCAACTTCGATCTAAATGCGACTTGTATGGTCTCGTAAAGTTAAGTTTACTTAAAGCAAACAGCGGTGAGGCTTCAGTGCAGAGACAAGACACTGCACACACTGTAATGGGCGAGTGCGTGTTTCAGATATTTAGTCAACCACCCGACGAATGCATCTACGAAATCCTCCGGTTGTGACATTTCTACGTACAAAAGGTGCGAATCCTGTACGTTAAAATCACATACCACAGGTATGGATGAAGCGGAGTCCAAAGAGTCGGTGCACAAAGCCGAGAAGACAGAATCTCGCTCATTAATAATAAAAGCTGAGGAAGAGGCGGCGACACCGCAGCGGGGACCCTTGGGGGACCTCTCAGCAGGTAAATGTTGTGTTAGGCATTTAACTTTGACCATTAGATCGATGGCTCTCTATTGGAAGTGTTAAAACCCGTGACGAACAATAGCATGCAGCGGCATGGCCCCTAATCTTTCGGGCTCCACTATAAACAAAGGCAAAATAACCATGCTGCATATGTATACGCGATGCGCCGTCACCACCTAGCGGATACACGTAGTACTGCACCATGCCGCCGCCCCCTTGTTGTGCTAAAAATGGGCCTGCGGAAATACCACCTTTTCACTTTGATATCCGTTTAAATCGTGCTAAATTATTATTTGCGTAACTATTTTTCTTAAAAGAAAAGTTATTTGAATATTTAAAAAAAATTGAGACTGCTACCAATAGTAGTAAAAATACCAATTAGAATATATGCTGACAGATTATAATATACATTTTATAATTCGTTATAGCAACATTTTTGATTATTGAATATTAACTATGAATAAATAATTAGTATATCATAAAATATGCGAAATACAAAATCATTTGCATTTTTTCAGATGAAGTTAATTTCAGTTACAATATTTGACAATGACTTTTAGCCTATCAGCAACAGACTAATGCTAAATAATAATAAATATATTAATGTATACATATATGCTGACAGATTATATGTAGGTTTATGCAAAACATTTACTTTAATATTTGTTTAATACTCACCAGTCGTTAATATTTTTAAATATTTTTCTGAAATACAAAATAATTTGCATTGTCTGATGAGATTACTAGCTTTGTTGTCTTTTGAGATCAGCAATATAAAAATTAATACACTACTACTGCTTAATATTTACAATAATAGTGATCTGAATATGTGCTGACAGATTTTTAATAGATGTATGCACAAATGGGCTTGTAGACAAAAACACTTTAACATTATATAACATTTTATAATAATCATGACAACATTTTTAATATTTGTTATATATATATTAAATAATTTGTATATCACAAAATACAGAATAACGTTCATATTTTCAAATTCCAAAATACAGAATTTTCACATTTTCCTATAAAGTTTCTAACTTTAGAATGACCTTTAGTCTATCAGCAACAGTCCTATTTAAGTAATAATAAATAATAATTGTTGTCCAGTATAACATATTGTATGTTCTGAATATACCTATAGATTAAAAAAAAAAAAAAAAAAAAACATTTATGCACAAAAAGTGCTGACAGAAATACATTTTCACTTAATATTCATCTCCATCATTTTATATATCTCCGGTATTTTATATTTCCCTGTAATTGAAAACAATGTAATAATTGTTAAAAAAAACCTCTCTTTTTGTGTCCTCCACAGGTCAAGAGGACATGACCAATGGTCTCACATCTCATAACAGCCAGGACGTTCCTGTCACCTCTGTATGCTCCCCAGGCACCAGTTACTGGTGTGTCTCTGAGAGCACAGACTCTCCTTTTCTTCTGTCTCCAATCCCAGGACCATCTACAAAAGACCCTCCTCCATCAAAGCACACACCTGGCCGAGACCACCGGCGCTATTACCATGAGTACTGGCGCAGCGAATACCTCATGGACTTCGACCCACAGAGACAAGGGATGATCTGCATGGTGTGTGGCAGTTCACTGGCCACCCTGAAGTTAAGCACCATCAAGAGGCACATCAATCAGAAGCATCCGTACTCGCTGCTGTGGACCGAGTCCGATAAAGATGTGATCCGGTCGGGATGGGAGAGTCATTTGAATCGAGAAAACAGCCAGCCGTTATGTCCCGATCCAGATGTTCCTCCAGAGTCACAGGAGATTCTGGATGTTAACAGGCACTCCACAGGCCTGTGTTTATATTTCTTTGTGCTGCTTTGTGTTTGTGTGAAATGTCTGAATCACATTAAACCTGACAAAACATGTGTTAAGGTTCACCCCCCACAAAAACTATAATATTTTGCTTAAAGAAAAGTAAACAACTTTTGAGAAAAATACAGATATTTTGCCATCTAATATTATTTTCATGAGATTATTTTTAATTATGCACATTCGCCTAATTATCATGACTCATGTAATTTGATTTAAAAAAATTTGAAATATACATTTTAAATATTATAAACAATTAAATATAATTTTTAAAGTACAGAAGTTATAAAAATATTTTAGTATGTCTATATGTCATGCTCTTTAAAGCCTTTAATGTATGCTAATAGTTGAATTTTTGTAAATAATTAAAAATAATTGTGTCTGGGCAGGACTATTTTCATTACTGTAATAATAAGAAATAAAAACTAAAATATTTAAACATCTGGATGGAATACAGTAATGAGATTTTAATGGGAAATGTGTTTAAATCTCATGAAAATAATGTCACAATTCAAAAACCTGAAACTTAATTAAATTTTATATACAATTATTATTTGATCCCTATTTAGTTCGTTTTTATATTGTATTGTAGCACTTTGAATGTGAGGAAAATAATAAGATAAGATATAAAAATAAAATGTTTTTTTTTTTAATTTCATAATTTTTTTATTTACTTTAATTAATTTTATTATTATTATTATTTGATATCTTCTTGAGATGTTTACTTTTATATTGCATTGTAGCGCTTTGAGTATGAGAAATGCACATTATAAATAAGATGCATTA